GAAATTAGGATTAATATTTGTGGTTGATAGTTAGAGCTGGTAATTAAATTTAGGGTTTTTATCACGAAATGACATCAGCTTTAATGCCAAAACTCTATTTTGCCAAATGAATGAATTAATTTCGCACCATAATTGAAGGCCTGTTATCCCAAGTCTGATTGGTTGGTCCATAAATTATAGTCTCGCAGGATATTCTTTAAAAATTAGAGTATGTAATATTTCTCTAATCAAAATCTTTTAAATGAACAGTGGGCTAATAATCATTGCTATTCTAAATACTGGGAATCTTAAAGAGAAACGCTACAGTTATTGGGATATTTTTTTCTTTTTTATTTATCCTCCGAAAGAACAAGAGGAAAATATATTGGAATTCGACTGCTTTATGTATAGCGGATGGAAAAATGATTATAATGGCTGAACTGATAGGAAGATTTAATGATTGAATATGGTTGACACATAGTGACCTTTGAAAAGTGTTTATAAAATACGTTCGAATAGTTACAATTTGAATGGATATTAAAGAGACATTTGTTAAAATAATGAACAACTGATGTTAAGAATTCTCTACTGTAAAAAGGTGTATAGTATTGAATAAAGTTGTTTCTTTTATTACCGAAAACTTACAGTAAATAGTAAGACAATCAAGAATGAATTAATGGTTAATAAATAAATATCCGTTATAATTTATGGGATTTAACTGTGTTCTGTAATATTCAGTGGTTGAGATTATGCAATTTGACCAAATAAAAATCAAGCTGCAGATACGTAGAATCATCACCTATTAAAAGAAATGTTCATTTAGCTTTCATCCAAACATAGAAAGTGGAACAGTACATTGGTTTGAAAAATGCTAGCGAAGGAAAAACATACTTTGGACTACTGAGAATAAATTTCTAAGCCTACTTGTTCTATTGTATGACATGTATGGTAGAGAGATTTACTTTACTTAACAAGATTAAACTTCATAATTTAATAATGCTTCTATTATGACTATGCCCGATTTCTAAACGGATATCTGTTTATTGTGTCCTATAGAAAGTGGGTAAGAAAAATTCTGTGTGAAGAGTTAGTGGGAAATTGGGTTTCCTCCTATCCCATGTTTTGTAATTTTACAGAAAGTTTTGTAAGTGCTTAAATTACTTAAGAGAATTGTAATCGATGATGACAGAAACTGGCCTAAGCAATTAACTATTCACAACTGTTATCGTAATGTATAGTCCTTAATGATGACTAAATTTTATAAAAAATTTCCAGTAAAGTCACTATACCGGTATAGTAGTATACTGTATTCATTAACAACAGAAACATATTATTTCTTTTCATCATTTCATTTCTGTGTATTCATACAAATCAAGTGGACTGAATTACTAATTGGATTTGGATGTTCTTTCAGAATTTTGCAATAGAAATTTCTAAAAATAAAATAACCAGTTGTTCACTATAATTTCTTGATATTGTAGTGACTCACATTTATCACGAGAACACGACTGGTTTAATAAAAACAATTATTATTATAACCAACTGTACCAGTGTTTGTTTTAACGTGCTTTTGTTTGACTGTGCTAATGACAGCTATTTTGTGCTTCCATTCTTATACTTACACTTCGATTGTAACTTCGCGCGAATTCGGTTACCTTCTGTAACCAAGGTTGTATCCTGGCACGATCTCGGTATCCTTTCGATGCCACAAGATCGCCAGCAAATATAACTCGACTTGGTCCATTAATTGCCTTCTCGTATTTGGCTTCTCGGGGATCTGAAGGATTTATTTGGTTACGTTCGACTTTCGCCTTCTGATTCATGTGGCACGTGTTTCTTGGTAGCGGTGTTCATAGTTAATTTCAACTCGACGCCATGCTACAATATAAACCGAGGTTATTGACTTAATTTATCCGATATTTCTGTTCATATGATAATAATTAATTGGTTGGATTGTGTTAAAGAATACGTTTACTTGTCCATACACAACATTGTTTTGCGGTAGATTTCAATTACTAAGTTAAAATGTGTTTTGTTGTATGATAGGACTTGAAGTCACATATGCTTATTATATTTTACCGATGGTATTAAATTAGATATGTCGGTAGTTGCTTGAATCTACTGAACTCTATCTATCTATAGTGGCATTAAATCATGTTATTTTCCAGTGTAAGGTTATTACATAACTGTTAATTCAATATTCTGACAGTAATTCAAATTTGATCATATACTAATTATTAGTCGATACTCCCTTATGAGTGCATAATCTGCAAAAATATTTAACTTTCAAGACAATTACTATAGTAATCTATATTTACTAAGGAAAGTAATGAAATAAAACAGTTTTATCGATTCATTAGTGAATATTAATAAGCGTTATGTTGTTAGGTCTTCAGTACCCATCGATCAAGTTGAAATGTAACCACTTGTTTGTGACTTGTAATCATATTATCTATTTGATGTTAAGTAGTTGACACCCAATCTTAAACTAAGGTTTTGTAACAGCGTTTGTCAGCATGACGTACTTGCATTATTTCGGAAACTGCTACTTCTTGTGAGAGATGGACCAGTGTTACTGATTATAGTTCCAATGACGATGGGATAATTCCACAGGAAAAAACAGTCCCCAAACGAAAAAGTTAGTCAAATTTATTTCATAATGTCATTCACTTTAAACACAAACCTCTTATTAGAACAGATGTATTAGGCCATTGTCTTCAGTTATTCTTGTTTTACCTTCTAATTTTATCAAATAAGGTGATAACATTGATTACTAGAAGAACTTTCTCTTAACTAAATGACCTAAGACAACCGTTCTCTCTTGAAAGAAAATTAGGTTATAGTTACAACAACAGACAATTATGTAATGATTTGTATACTTCAAAAAAGAATGCTGAGCTGTATAATGACTAAATAGTTGTTGAGATTGTGTAGAGAAATCAAACTATTATATCTATAATCATTATCAGTTGATAATTAGTTTGTATACTCTTAAAAATAAGCTTCGAAATCTAAAATATGATATGGGTTTCGGTGGATTCTAACTTAGTGATACAATAATAATGTACTTAACAAGGCATTTAAAAATCTGAAGTGTATACCGCTGAGGGACGAAATATTTGTTCACTACTATATGGATTTCTAATAGTCTTTCACTTGACATAAATTAATTATATAACCTATACTCAATATACACAAAGGGAAAAGCAGGATTCTCCTATACAACACAGCATGCACCAATCCAATCACAATTGACGGAGAAGATTTGGAAGATGTAAAAACCTTTACATATTTGGGCAGCATCATTGATGAACATGGTGGATCTGATGCGGATGTGAAAGCGCGGATCGATAAAGCAAGAGTAGCATATTTACAACTGAGGAACATCTGGAACTAAAAACAACTGTCAACCAACACCAAATTCACAATTTTCAATACAAATATCAACACAGTTCTACTGTATGGGACGCAAACCTGGAGAACCATGAAAGCTATCATTCAGAAGATACAGGTGTTTATTAACAGTTGTCTACGCAAAATACTTCGGATCCGTTGGCCGGACACTATTAGCAACAACCAACGGTGGGAGAGAACAAACCAGATCTCGGAGTAGGAGGAAATCAGGAAGAAGCGCTAGAAGTGGATAGGACACACATTGAGGAAAGCACCCAACTGTGTCACAAGACAAGCCCTCACATGGAATCCTCAAGGCCAAAGGAAAAGAGGAAGACCAAAGAACACATTACGCCAGGAAATGGAGACAGACATGAGAAGGATGAACAAGAATTGGGTGGAATTATAAAAAAAAGCCCAGGACAGAGTGGGTTGGAGAATGCTGGTCGGAGGCCTATACTCCATTAGGAGTAACAGGCGTAAGTAAAAAAAGTAATATTCAAATTTAGAACCAACAAACTGAATTTGTTACAATACACCGTAATTTCATTCAATATTTTTAATGAAAGGACTCTATAATATTTACGTTTGATCAATGTATCTTTGCAAAACTGATATACTTATCTTTATTTTTTTTTTAAAAAAACGAAACATTTCGTTCCGTTATACCTAGTTATTTGTTGTACTTAAGGTAGTTTTATTTTGTTTATATCATAGAAAGTAAACCATATTAAAGTCTTTATCAAAACAATCTTTTCTCATTTGTATATTCGATTGATTCTGTACATTATCCGATAATAACAACAAAAACAAAAGCTTATTATAAATAAAAACAACAACAACAAACTTTTCACATGACTAATTCACCAATCAATTTATGAATAAAAATGGAGTATTATCCTTTTTCTCATAATTTCATTTTTTATTATTGTTGTTTAGAATAATAATCATACATGTTACCATACTATATCAATGGATAACTTGTTTAAACTGGTAAAAATCTTCCATTATTATTTTCAATAAATATAGAAAATATATGAGTTAATAATAATTTATTTATTCAATGAAAAATGATAATATTGGCATATAGAGAATTACTATGTAACTATGTATGAAAATCAATTATTTTAGAGTGCGTGTAGATTAGTTATTAAAACTGACATTATCATTTGGCGAATTTAGACGATCAGGTTAACATGATAAAAGAATAAAATAAATTAATCAGAAAATAAAGATATGCACATGAGAATGAATAAAACGAAATGGAAAAAAATCTTTTTTTTTGATTGAGTAAAAGGTATCCAAATACCCACAGTGGATATATATATATATATATATATATATATATATATATATATATATATATATATATATATATATATATGTAATGTTCAGTTTTTACCATGTTTACGTCAGTTGTAAGAGTACTTTATGTACTAGAGAAGTGTGTCTATACATAGTTAAACATTCTAATCATAGAATTACATATTCAAATATTTTTGCATCCACTTAATTTTAAGAGACTGGGTAATATATTTACATTTTGCATCATAAATGTGGTTTGAAACTCAGTAAATGAAATGTTAAATGATTAGTGATTTCAATAGATGAGCCTTGCGAATGATTTTCATCAAACAGAAGGCATGTACATCTGCATGTTCGCTAATCATTAAATTTTATTAGGATGAAATATGTTATTAAATCATCACATAATTTATTGATATTTATTTAATACATTTTTATATATATTACAAAATAAGTTAATTCATGTACTAACAACATTCATTCTGTTAATCCAGTGAAAATTTCTTTTAGTTTGAATTGAACCGACTAACTGCTGTGAATGATTATAAAGATCAGAGAATATGCATATATATATAGCAGTAGTAGTGCATTCCAAAGTCCAGCAATTAATCCTGCCATATGCCGAAGATTATCTTAATTACAGAAGACTTCTATTAAGTCAGCAAAATGCGAAAATTTATCAGTCAAATTACCCATAGTTTAGAGTGTTGGATTTAGTAGCTATCCTATTGATGTTGGAGATATTCAAACATTTAAAAAACGATCCTCCAATTGTTAAAAAAAAGATAGGTGGCTGAATTTTCCAAACTTACTCTAAAACCAATGAACGTAAAAGAAGAAAAATCTATTTATATCAATTAAATTGAACAGAGTATTTAAAAAATAATGTGCAGTTTGTTGAGGCTATTCTGTAAATGTTGATAAAGTTAATAAATTTGTCGTAATGTATGTCTTACAGATAAAATTTGAGCAAAACCTGAGACAACTTTGAAATATTAATACCTCATATTGGATAGTAAACCCAGAGATCATAAAACTTTAGGAATATGTCATTAAAAAAGTAATGAGGCAATAATGTATTTTCTGATTTTCAGTAACATATTAGTTATACTGATGTTTTCAATAGGACTGGCTCTAAAAAGCATTAGAGTACATTTAGGTCAATTTTCAGGTTATTAATACGATTTCGTACAAATTTAATGATATTTATGAAAAGGCTCTCTGGAAAGTTGACGGAGTGAAGTTATAAGACATCCGTTTGAGAACCATATTAATAAAACCCTGGCATTTTTCACTGATCAGTACGTTCGTTATTATGTTCTCTATTTCATTTAGTTGAAATGAGTGATATTTTTACTGTATCCGTTATCTCTTTGCCCAGACTAGTTATTAAACAGACAAATATGATTTAATCCAGTATATAAAGAAATTGGATTCGTAGATATTTTGTTCATAAGATAGTTTACAAAACCCTTGAATTAATAAGTTTAGTTTTTTGTCAAGTATGGTACAAAATAAAAAAAATCGTATGTGGAGACAGATGAGTGGATCACGTGAGGAAGCCGTAAATATGGCAACTTATAAGTGTGAAATTAAGTTAACAGAAACCTTTTAGAATATCTGAAGCTTTAAGCGTAAAATTCAGCTTTGCATTATGAAAAGGGGATCTAGAAAATCAAACTCACAAGGGAATTATAGAATATGGAAAATAAAAAACCATTTAGATGTATGTAGCATTCACTTCAAAATTAGTTTACATAAAGAATTTTAAATACTAAATCAGAACATCTTAATTGATTTCAAGAAAAGACAGGTTGCATTGAACTCCCTAACATAATGGTTTTTAAGAAATAATTCCTATCAAAAATCTAAAAGTATGTTCAGATTTATGTGAGGAATACGGATATGATCTTCCTTAATTTGGGATACTTACATTAACTCATAGCGTACTGTTATCCCACAATACAACCACAATCGGGCGCCTAAAACCCTCTCTCAAACAACGTTGGATCAAAACCATCTAATTAACAAAGAATATTTTTCGTCCGATTGAGGAGCATCCGCCAGTATGGCTTAGGAAGGGCCATGGCGGACCAATTATAACTCCTATGCTGTGCCATGAAGTAGATCCAGAACATTCAGTTCCAGCTTCTTCCATCAATATCATTTAGAGAATATTATCAGAATAACATAGCCTACACAGCGGAAACTATAGCTGTAAATAATTTAAAACCACAGTTACGTCCACAATGGTAGTTTGTTACACTATCGCCTTTCCAGCGACCCTGTTTATTGAATCCAGTTATAACATGTCCGGAAAATATTCATTTCTCCTTACTTGATTGTCATGTGGCATTTCTTTTACTCAAAATTTTCGAATAACATATGCATAAAAATATCTTAGCTTTTAAGAAGACGAACAAGGGAGTACGTCAAAATTATAAGGTAAAGGGAATTCTATTAAGTAATATTATATCATAATGTGTCGTATATACATGAGAAATTGGTTTGATCTAACTCACTTCAAGAATATTAAATTTAAGGGAAATAATGTAACTGAAATCCTAAAAAACGAATTCCGAAATCTTTTAAGAAAGCATTTTACTTTGATAAGCTATATACTGCCTTCTCCACCCAGCCTCTGATTCTTGAACATGTTGAGGATAAACTTCTGCTTTGGGTCACAATGTGAAATTATTTGTTAAGGTTACATCAGCCGCATAAATTTAGCGTTTGTAAACGCAACTCAAAGCATAACTCTGAATGGCTTTCAAAGAAGAAAAACAATCGACTGCTCAATACAAGGACACTTTTTAATCCTTGTTACATTGTACTATCAGAAATATCACCCAAAATCACCGATACATACATTTGTGTTCAAGGGGAACACAAACTGAAGACGTATGTACTAAATTGGTTTCAGCAAACCAAAGGCTTACTGTCGAAATCTACGTGTAATGGAAGCAAGTACCGTGTCTCAATCTACTAAGACCATACCACTTGATTTTTCACAATCGGAAGTTAGTTATTAATATAATCTAATGTCCCATACTTATCAATCAGCTATTATCACCTTCACATTCCCTATTCCTCATTAACCTTATATTTAAATAACGAAAACGCCCCATTGTGTCTTTGAATAAGGAAGGAGATTCAACGAAGAAAATTTCTTTTTCGAAGATTTCATTTACTTAAGCTGTACAATCGCATTTATAGTTAATTTTATTTGCCAAAATAGTATTTTATAGCAGGATAGGGAGGTGCTTATTCTTTAAATAGCTTGATGTTGTACGTTGTCAAGATTTGAAAAACATATTGAGAGGAAGTTATGTACTAATCGGCTAGTAAAAAGTGGTAAGGTGAAATAATTGTCCACCAAATAGCTATTAAAAATAGAATTCTTAAAAGTTGTGATAACTGCTGATTAATAGTTGTGAAAATAATTGGAAAGGAGTAGGAATAAAATAAATAAGTGATAGATTATGGAAGATAGAAAGGGAGGTTAGGGCCTTGGAAGAATGAGGGACTAAACATATTGTCTTTGTACACAAAGGTTAGGCTTAAACTGGTGGACCGCAATAGATTCTGATGTACGTGAGTTTTACAACTGTACTCCTACTGATCCAACTCTTCTGACTGTATAAATGATTCTGAAGGAGGCTTCTGGTGAAGTGGAGTGGCCGGACTTGACTAGATGCTCAAAGATTAAGTTTTCGACTGACCTCTGTAACGCTTTGGAGAGCCAGTCAGGATAATGTTTAGAGATGGGTTTCGAAAGAGCTCGCTTTGTGTGACCAGAATAACCTCCTCCACATGAGCAAGTAAACTAATAGATGCACATCGATCTGGACCAAAGAGGGAGCTTATGTTTCACACAACTTCGAATCACAGGCCGCCTAGAAAAGATAATGCGAAGTTCAATCGAATAGCACGTTTTTCTCTTAGATCTTGAAAGTTTGTTTTTCAAAATTACTGCTGTATTATCTTCTTTCAATTGAATGTCCATGAAGAAAGTCTTTTTTGGTGCTGTGGATAATCTTTCGCGTCGTTGTTTTGGCTTCAGATTTGTTTCAGTGAATCTAGGTGGATATCCACTGTTGACCAGTATCTGCTTTAGTTCTCCAAGTTGAATATCGACTGTATCTTCAGCAAAAATACATCCAACCCTCGTACTGAGACAATGTATCAGGTCCCTATTTTGCTTAAGTGGGACCCAAATTTGAAAATTAGTGTACCAACCATTTCATATTGGCTTCCTATATATCGATCTTTGTAAAGAACCGCCAGGTCTCTTTTTTTACCAAAACATCTAAGAAGTGGAATCCTGAACTCCAGTCTGATTTCATTGTGAACTTAACTGATTGATGACAGTTATTGAAAGCGTTAAGGATGTCGTTGAAAGTGATATTGACTTCACAAATAATGAAAGTGTCGTCTAAGTATCTCTTGTATAGATAGAAGCTGTCACTTATTGGTCTAAGTATAGTGTTTTCGAGATTAGCAATAAAATAGTCGGCTAGAAGTGAACCGAGCAGTAATGCCGTCGCTACGCCGTTAGTCGATATAGAAATTATTGTTGAATTGAAATTGGACGTTGGAAGTGCATCGGAGTAGTTTTCTGAAATAGTGTATCGGATTTTATTTATCTACTTATCTTTAACACATAGATATTGGTACAAGGAGGCACCAAATACATATGCGCCATACAGATTCGATTTGATATATGTAAGGGCTGTGATAATGCCCGGGTGCCCAAACCGAAGCAGGTGGTTTTCTAAGGGGGTCACACCCGGAGCCTTCGACCTGAAGGTCTCATCCACAAGGCAGTGGAGCATCGTAAGGAGATGCATTCCCATGGTAGCCGGTGACCAACGATTGGTTCATACGCCGTATGTTCCTTCAGAACCCTGGTACCCATGTGAACCATTGGTTTGCAATCAGGGTTTTCCAACTCCCATAGGTGGACTCTCCATGTCCACTAAACCGGTTAAAGCGCCGGACATCCGCTTTTCGTCCTCTCAATTTCGTAAACGACACCCCCGCCACGAGAAGGCAGTGAGTAGGAATTCCCTAGCAGAGGCTATATACGCGTGGCTATGTGAGAGCATTTCGAGAGGGAGAGCGGACTCTCCCCACTCTCGGCCTTACCAGGGCATTTGGGGGGTCTATCGGAACACCAGCATCGAGTTTAATGCATTCAATGTAATCACATAGTAGATAAATTGTTTGCGTTAGAGGTATATTTGTAAAAATAGCTGCAATATCTAGTGACGTCATCAAAGTTACGTTACGTTGACACTGAATCAAGTTAATCAAACGAATCAGCAGTGATGTATCTATTGAGTTGATTTCTGACTGGTAATAGAATTTTAACTAGCCATTTGGAGATGAAATTTATTTGTATTTGTAAAGTGGACACTCAGTTCTCCTAGCTTCGTTTGCTTATTATTGTTTGCCTTCAACCTTTAGATCTTATCACAACCAGCTTGTGACGCATGAAGGTTTCGGACCCTAAACTAATCACTTTGTTTTTTAAATTTGTATATCTGTTGAATTGCTATAAATACGACTTTACAGCTTAAGTTAATGATTTTATGAAAACATTTTCTTTGCTAAATTGTCTTTATTTCCTTTTCGATAGTATAATTGGTTTCCTTCTTAAATTATTTTAATCACCAATATGTTTAATCCACAAAGTCTGAGAAAGATGTAAGTTAATAACCAGAATTTTGTTCTAAAAATTAAAAAAAAACGGTTTAAATTAGCTCGATAAATCAAGGCCTCACTCTGGAAACAGACAGACTTTTTTGAATGGATGATCATGAGTTCAGGATAACCGTCAGATGTCGATTAGCGTTGATTTTTTAGATCTAACATTCATCAAACAGATTCTTCACTTCCATGGCTGTTGTTTGTTATAAATACGGCAATTAAGAAAGAAGGAAGTTTTAAACAAATGTATAGTATTGATCAAAAAATATCACCGTGAACATACAAAAAATTAGATCGTCCTTAATTGTGCTCATTGTTTATTATGCGTCCAAGATCGTTGCTGAAGCACTTCATTGGATACGACAAATAAGAGTTGAGTCTCTGGATACTCTCTAAGACGTCCTTCTAAATAGTTAACAAATTCATCATCCGTTGACGCAACTACAACCGGTTCGCATAATTTAGAATCTAAATTAAAATATGAATATTTATCATCATGCTCTAATTTTCGTAAACCAATCCAATGACTTCCTGAATATGGTAATGTTAAGTTAAAAATACGACGATTAGAAAATGTGTTCAATATATATCCAAAAATATTATCAAAATTTAGATTATGCGCAGCAATTGTTTTGCGTTTATCACACCAAACAATATCATAACCACATTGTTGAAGAGCAATGACTAACACATTTGCGTCATAATTCCCCAGTCCAAATACATTTCTATGTGGATTAATAAATGAATTGCTATTAAGATTATCAGCTATTTTATCTAAGCAATGCTTTGAAAATATTTTATCCTGAAATACATTGTTCAGCGCATGCAATGCACAAAACATTTTAGATTGACGTTCATGGTAAATTTTATTTGAATTGGTCACTGAATTCATTCAAGATGTCATTTACCAGGATAATGAGCACAATTCAAATAAAGTAGTGTATAATACGGGAAAATTCCAAAAGATTATCTGGAAAATAAAACAAAAAAGAAAGTCCAACCTATGTAAAATTTGAATAAGTTACAAGACTGGATTAATCTGGAAATCTTGAATACATATGACTCAGATAATCTGAACCGATCAGAAAACAGTAATACCAAAACTAAATAATTATCAACAATGATGACACTAAGCTATATAATCTTCCATTCGACTAACAACCTGATACTCTTGCTTTCGTCCTTAAAGTACTTTATATTTTTGCTATATTATGAAGTTAAAGGCGTATAAACCGACTACAACAACTAAGTGACACTTGACGGTTTCTCATATACATAAATGTAAGTTAATAATATTACCGAGGAGTTTGTCTAGCCTTTGATGAACAATAAGGTACCGGAAATGCCAAACAATTTATTTCCCAACAACTTAATTCAACATACAAAGTCCACATAAAATCGTTGACAAGCCTAATAAGTCGGCTATTTTTTTCGAGTTGCAAAATAACATCAGTTACAAGATTGTGAAACATTACCGTACATTAATATGTTTTTAGAATCAAGGATTACACCGAATTTGTGTCCCTGTACACATTAAAAATAGTGCACTTTGTCAGAATAAACACTAAATACAATTATTTGATTTAAACTTTATCAAACTTTTGATCCCCGAAGAATTGACAGTCAATCAGCTACGACGTAGAACCAGGCACATATATGCATAGGTCCAAGTTGCCATACCTCATTAACACAACAAGATGAACACCGGATTCATAGAAGCAGTCAATTCAATGGTAGTAATATATATAAAAGAAAGATTGCATATAAAGATATAGTACAGGAAGAAAGAATTAGTTCGTAGAAAGAAAGATATGGAGTGATTTTATTCTCTTAGTTTAAGGGAAGACAGAATGTATACACCTACGCCGTTGCGATCGATTCTGAGCCATGTCACCAAGAGTCTCCAACCATTGGTCACGATAGTCACACGGACCCCAACCAAGTAGTCTACATCTACCAACATGGCTCAGACTAGAAGTTAGTGTCTTCAAGCACTGATGCCATGTTTTGGTTTAGCCGCCCTTCCAACCATCCCCAACACCGGTTAGCATTGCACGTCGTGGTAATCGGTGTTCAGCCATACGTAACACGTGGCCAGCCCGACCGTCGTAGCTACCTTAACGTGGTGGTCAGGCTTGCCTACCCTGGTAACCCAATCGAGCTATACTGGTTGGAACAACAGTTCCTCAACGTCCTACCACGCCAGATAGATCGGTTGAAAAACAGTAAGACTAAAAGCAGCAAACTCAAGGTCCGAGGACGAAGTCGCACTGCTGACTGTACAGAGGTGTGACGGTAGTAAGGCGTTTCCTTCAGACAACCAGCATAATAACGATGCTGCCTTCCTATAATTAGGGGTTGGGTTAGAAAAGGTCGACCCTAAAAATACACACCTCGCCTAATCTAATCGATTTCCGTTTCCGGCAGCAAGGTCTCAACAAGTACAGAGCCAACACGAAAATTACTCACAAAAAGGTCGACCTCAAGTACTTGTCCCTTGGGCACTGCGGTCATGCTCTCAGGTCATTAAGACCGCCCTTAATCCAATTTCCTTTCCAGGTACCTTCAGAAGAACCGGGAAGTGATAACCGCCATCATACCTCTAACAGCACTCAAGACGGAATTGATAATAACAATAATTACAAAACAGATGAACATTCATCGTAAAATGTACGAAGTAAACCGCTTTATCAACGTTGCCGACCTGAAACTAACTCGTAAGCCAATTTTTCATGAACACTAATTTAACTCAATTTTCGGTTATTATTTTGCAGTTAAGCATAAGTATTTGATTTTTATAAAATAAATAAAGACGGACATTTGCTTCGCTTCTTAATAATGGATTTACCATGCACAGATTCATGTACTTGACTTTGATCCGCACTTCAAGCGTGAGGGTTAGTGATACTATCTGTCTGGTCAAACCAAAAGTGTAGTAGGGTTTAAACCTTCAATTTAGCATCTTAAAGTTGAACATCCTGGCTACTGATCTACCTCTTTACACGAAGACTGATATAAAAATGAAGCACCTGCATTAAGTGTTCATCGGCACGAACTAAGCACTGAATGAATGGGAAACTGATGACTTTAGACTATTTCGAGCTAACTACTCTGTAGCTGTGTCATAAAGCGATCTTCACTGCCGCTTATGTAGTGGAAAGATTAAAAATCAGTAAGGAACCAGATAAAATGATGACTAAAATACTCTAATGCTATAGCCTTAACAGCAATCCCGTACCATCGTTTTCCGAAAGTGACGAACCCCGATAATAGCTGCTACCTTGACGTAGTGATCTGGTTTGAATATCGTGATGACCTAGTTGAGCTATATTAGCTGGAACACTATCTTTACCAAAATCTATCATTTCAAGCATGTTGTTCAAAGAGTGGTTGATCTAAAAGCGGTAAACTAAAGGTCCGAGAGTAGTTTTACTGGCGGTACAGGGGTTAAATTGAGGCAAGGCATTTCTTTACAGAGATTCTGCTTCCTATCGAGAGAATGAGGGCTTTAGAAAAGATCGGGCCTATAAATAAAGAAATCCCGCCCGTAGATTTTTGCTGCTGGTGGCAGAGTTTAAGAACTTGGGGCCAACAGATCTATAACTGGTTACAAAAAAGCAGTGCGTGACCGATATACAGCAGCTGTTTTCTGAACTCTGAAGCCACAGCCCTGCGCCAGGACGACTGCTAATTCGAGTTCCTTTTCACACTCCTCAATGAGAAGTGTTCCTTAAAAGTGCAGGCAACCGAGAGAGTAACATTTCTCAAGGTTACAAAAGTACTCAAGGTAACGTAACGAATTAGACTTTGCTACGAGTTCTTCCAAGTTTTTAACTTCCGTTCAGAAAATAAGTTTGGTGAAATTTTCATTTGGGCTATTCTCAGAATCCAGAAAACCAGAGGTTATCTTGCCCATGAATTTCTTCATCAGACCAGTTAAGCAAAAAGATTCTGACCGAGTTCTCCATGCACGTTGGTCAAAAAGTGCATTTTTAGGAATCCCAACAAGTCATTGACTTCTAGAGCGAAAAAAACATTACAAGTAATAAAAGAATAGTTTTTTTAAGTCTAAAACACTCGGCTGTTGTGTGTAAGTTGACGCTGAATACATCAATGAGTAAAATTAGGTTCTGTCAAATAAAGCCGCTTGGCCGAAAGGCTTCACGGCTTAAGGCAGTTTTAATATGAAATTATGAGTAGTTTTGAGAGACATGTTAATCTATTGCACTGGTGTTTATCAGTGACGTGGTGCATACATGAAAGAAAATTTGGTATTTAAAAATGCCTAATTGGAAAAACTGTAGAATAGAGCACGTGAAAAGTGGCGCTCTTAAAAAGTTTGATGTCCCAACCAGCTCACACAGATTTGGGTAACAGAATAAATTAAAAATACTTTTGACTTATTGGACATTCATAAAACTATCATCAGACAACCATTAACGAGTGACCAAAACCGGAGTGAATTTACCATGGCTCATCGCAAAATGAAAGGAAGACTTAGTAAGAATTGTTAGTGTCATGTTATTGTATATTAAGGAAGCTCCAGAATGACGAAAACATACGGTTAATTAAACTATATTCTCACAAATAATACACCTAGTCCTAAATAATATTTGTAATGACCACACATATATATCTATCATAAGCGCTTTTGAAATATAAATATCTAATTCGGTCGATAAGTAATAGGACTTTCGTCGCATTGTTCGCCATTTTTGTTTCCCAAAAAATGAAGAATAATCGAGATCATCTTTTTACAAGCAAAAATATCTAATCCCCACGTAAAATTAACCCGTTTCCATAGAAGTTGAGATCTCACCCAATCTCCCCATTTTGGAGAAAATTTGACCAATTCTGGGGAAATTTTGAGAAAGCCGCCATAGTAAACTTTAGGGAAATGGTATGAAAACCCCGAAATTTCCCTTTAACCTTAATCAAGGTCATTTGGCTTTGGGGATTTCCCCAGAATTCCTCTAAGTCCCCCGAACTTTCCAAAAAATGGTGAAGCTTCACCACGACCTAGGTCATTTGACTTCGGGAGTTTCCCCAAAATAGCTTAAACATGGCCCTGGGAAGATCAGTAGTAAAGTTGTTTCTTACATAGCTCGAGAGCATTCCTCCACGAAGTATTCGGGAGATATAGAGTAACTTTGATATAGACAGAGCAACATATACAGTATACTCACATGTATTAGTAGAGAAAACCTGTGTTACTAACCCGGAAAAGTTTGGAATGTACGGACGTAAGCATTGAAGGTAACTAAGAGAAAGCCAATAGAAATGTTATGAAAATTAGTCTCTCAGAGTGGAAAAACCAAACATTTCGAGTCGTCGCAGTCGCTGTAACCTTGAGAACGTGAGTATTATAAACAAGCAACTATGGTCCTAAAACTTTGTTCCGATGGTTTTGTTAATTGGTGATTTAGTGTTATATCGCAATAATCACGGTAGTGTTCGTCGTTTTTGCGAATCGCAACCTTTATTTTTATTGTTGCTGGATCCTTAGAAAAAGGAAGAGTCATTGGAATATGTTCATCTGTACTAGCTTAAAACAATACAGATCCAGTTATTGTAAGATTAGGAATGCCTGTGAAGCGTTAATAAGCAAGACTAGACTATCATACGAAAAAAATTGGTTAGGGATTCTAAATATAGTCCGAAACGGTTATTCTCGTATATAAAAAGGCGAACTAAGAGAAGCCAAGGAATTCCATCACTTTTGATACGAGACAATCCGTTAATCTTAGCAGAGAATGATGCCGAAAAAGCTGAAGCTTTATCGGAATATTTTAGTAAAGTGTTTTCTATCGGTAATGAGGAACGATCAATGATTCATCGTGACCGTGACGGCTCGCTGATGGATCCTGTAGTCATTGAGAAAGATACTGTTTTAAGGCTACTTCAGCATCTCAAACCTGATAAGTTCAGTGGTCCCGATGATATTCATCCTAGGATTATGAAAGCCATATCAGATGAAATTGCTGAACCATTAGCGATACTATTCGACATGTCTCTGAGACAGTCCAGACATCCTAGAGACTGGAAAGACGCCATAATAAGTCCGGTGTATAGGGCTGGGAGTAGGGATTTAATCAGTAACTATAGACCCGTTAGCTTAACTAATGCAGTCGTGAAACTGGTGGAGAAAATCATTCGGATATCTGTTATAAACTATGTTGAAGGGCAAAATCTTTTCTCCAGGGCACAACATGGTTTTCGGAAAGGCCTATCTTGCTTGACAAATCTTCTCATTGCACGAGAAGAGTGGGCTGCGACAAAGGATCGGAATGCTCCTGTGGATGTAATTTTTATAGATCTAAGTAAAGCCTATGATAAGGTTTCCCACTCTGGCCTTAAATTCAAACTGGAACGTTTTGGAATCCATAACACAGTCGTCGATTGGATAAGTAACTTTCTCCATGACAGGAGATAAAGGGAAAGGGTTAATGGGGCTCTCTCCTCGTGGGTACCTGTAAAAAGTGGGGTTCCCCAAGGCACAATCCTAGGTCCTCTTCTCTTTTTACTTTATGTAAATGAATTACCAACTGTAGCAAAATCATCCGTTCTACTCTTCGCTGATGAGATAAAGATTTGGAGACCCATACATAGTATGTCGGATAGAATAGTATTACAGGACGATCTTAGCTCATTGGTGGCATGGTTAGACAGGTGGTCACTAGAAGTAAATCCTAATAAGAGTGTAGTGATGCAGTTAAATAACTCTGATGAATCGTATGACTATACACTACGTGGATTCGTGCTACCCAAAGCAAGAAACTATAAAGACTTAGGAGTTATATTAAGCAATGATCTCAAAACAACTAGTCGCTGTAAGGCTGCTGCTGCAAAAGGCTATAGGGTATTATGGTCAATCCGTAGGTCTTTCCAGTATTTAGATGATGAAATGTTTAGATTACTATACCCGATTTATGTGCGACCATATTAAGAATACGGGATTCAAGTAGCGTATCCTTGTTTCAAGTATGAAGCAGATATGCTAGAAAGAGTCCAACGACGAGCTACTAAGATGGTACAAGGTCTAGCTGGCCTATGTTATGAAGACAGACTGAGACACCTTAACTTATTTCCATTATCTTACCGTAGAGTACGGGGTGATCTAATATTGGCTTATCGTATACTGAACGATGACCTTGGTATTAACATGTCTTATCATTTGCTTCCATCTAGAACCGATCATTTGAGAGGACATTCGAAGAAGGTTCAAAAACCGAGATCAAACCGTTTCTCGCATCGAGTAGTGAATTACTGGAATTCTCTACCGGAACACGTTATATCAGCACCGTCTGTCAATATATTCAAAACGAGGTTGGACCTCCACAGTATTACAAACTGCAAGGATTAATATAGGTCGATAGACCTCCTATCCTCATTACTGAAGACTGAAGACGAAAGTATCAAATACCAGTAAAATGAGCTGCACGAAAATGATATACAAAGTACTCAGCCCTAGGTCTGATGCAAGTGAGGTAAAGTAGACAGTATGAAACAGCAACGCCGTATCTCTTTCTAGATTTTCGTACTCTATATAATGTAATTTTAGGCTTCAGAAGCAATCTAATTGGGATTTATTTTTTTATTCCTACCCTCTCACTTCATTTCAGGATGTAAGGCTATCGACATATCACTGGGCCCTAGCCAAATTTTTTGGCAGTTGGGTCACTGAATGGGGTGGATTTAGGCGCAACGTTTCCACGTAAACTGAATGTGTCACCCAGCGCAACGACGCTTATGTCTACGTTCATTTAATGTATTTTTTATTAAAGAACTAGATGATGCTATGAATTTGACTGTGGTCGTAATTTTCATTTTCCACGTTCGACAGCGTTACGCCTTACGTGCACTGAAAACTGGAATGATGTCTTAAGTCATAGTATGTTTAATCACATTTTTTACTTTCTTCACAAAGACTGTCAGTGAATAATGATACTGAAGAAAGGTTCGCTGTGCTGTAAACTATGTTTTACGAGTAAATGACTGTTGTCTTCCGTCTCAAAACAATACGGTTTGTCTTCTCCTAGGTAAGTCTTAGTGGCATATAGTTCGCGTTTTGGGTTTGTTAGCTTAATTATCTACATTTAACTAACTTGAGTAACATATCTGTGCAAATAAAACAATGATTATGACACAGTATTTTTATCATCGTATAATTTTATTTTTTATAATTTTGCTACACGTAAGTACAGTGTTTGAGGCATGTAATAAAGCAGATCAGCTTAGTAAGTAGAGCTGCCTGCTTCTTATGAGTATACTGATTCAAATCAATATTCTTGGAAATAGGAAACAAATTGCCTTTTATTCTGTTGTTGTCATGTATTATAAGATAGAGATAAGTACGTTTGTTGTTTATTTGCGTACTGTATGTCCAGGTTTGACCATATTTCAAGATCACTATCGTTAAACAATTTCCCTAGAGTTTACATCGCTAGCAGGATAGTTCAGTGTCTGTGCCCTTACTTTTCTGCAAAATAGCAGTATTTATTCCTGAATGAAGGGTGTTTTGCGTCCTAATTAAATCCAACTATCTGTAAATAAACATTAAAAATCTTTTTAACAACTGGGAATTTCAATTTATCAGACACTAAATATAATTGCATATCGTCCTGTAAAACCAGACGCAGATGCACTGGAATATTTAAATGGGAGTAAAGAGATAAAAGCTTTACGATACAATACTAAGCACATATTATGCTTTGCACAAGCTGTTGTA